ACACACGATCTACTTGTGAATGGGGCGCTTTCCTTATGTGATAAGGAAAGGGCCAGAGATAGATAGAGATATGAGAAAGAACATTAGTGATGATTCATTCTAGATATTGTCACAAAATGTAAGCAGCCAGATTTGAAACCAAGAACTGGGTCTGATTTCTATTTTGTACCTACTTTACCTAAAACCGTATAGACCTCTGTTTCCCTTCAAACAAGGAAAAGTATTTGTCTCAGGGATGTGAGGCATCACAACAAACCTAAGTACCAAGTAATAAATGACACGTGGTATATTTATGATGTTTCAAAGTAATCATCAGCCCACCAAAGTCAAAGCTGGGTCCTAGTGAGAAGAACACACTCTAGCCAGCAGCTCTCAGGTGCCATTTAGTGACCACGGTACCTGGCTCCATCAGCTGCATTCCTGGCTCCCCTGTTCACATTTCCAATATCCTGCGCATGTCACTGTCAAAGCTCAGGACTCCAGCTGCAGAGCAAGAAATCCACTTGTAAGACAGCAGGAGACTGTTGAGTCCCCTGTCCCACGATACCACCCAACACAGCAAAGTCCTACTCTGACCACCCAGGGCTTTGTTGACGGAAACACCCTTCTCTTTGGAACTTTATTTTCTAGACTGTCAAATTCTGACACAATAACTCTCATCTCCTTCCAGACTATACTTGGGTGAGCAGCAGTTCAGACTACTGATTATCACCTGAGAGTTTTAACAGCTTCTGTCTGTCTGTCTGTCTGTCTGTCTGTCTCTCCCTCTCTGCCCTGTCCCCCACTCCCACACACACACCTGCCCTGCCAAGTTGGGCCTCTAACATTGCACAGAACTGGCTGAAACTGTTAATGAAATATGCATGTGTATATAGTGAAAGGTATTCTCAGCTACTGAAATAGAAACCACCAAATGGGAAAAATGTATCACAGACATGGCCAGTTTGATTTCAGAGTTCTAGTAGGAATTCCTGGAATCTATCACACAGAACACAAACATGGGTAAATGGCAAAAACATGACACCTGTTAAGATTTTAATACTTTTTTTAATTTAACAAGATATCTAGATCTTTGGCATTTACAATTTACCTAAACTAGGGGTTGACCAACTTTAAGAATCACAGTTACTAACCATAAGGAACCTTTGTTTAAGCATGTTATCTTCTTCAAGAAGAAAAGATAAATCTAAAAGGGGAAACCTGCTGGATTTTGTGATATATTCCATGTCCTTACAATCCCATGCAGAAGCTGATGAAACTAAATTTCAACCAGGGGCAGTGTTTACCTCACGGTCATGCTCAGCTGCAACCTGCTGATAAACCTGTTTAAAAAAAAAACAAAAACAGAATAACATTAAAATTTTTTTTTTTGTGTACGAGTGTATGTTTGAGACAGGGTCTCACTATGTAACCCTGGGGGGCATCCTGGAACTTGCTATTTAGACCAGGCTGGCTTTGAACTCCTGCCACCACACCCAGGATAGAAAAGTATTTTAAAAAGATTGACCACTATAACCACGATCCCTGATACTGGGCAGTTAAACCAAACTACACTAACATCTGCTCTTCTCCCAGCGGCCCCTGGCTCACTGTGTAACTCCTGTGATGACTGGGTCACCACAAGTGCTGCCCCCCCCCCCAGCAAAGGAGAAAGAACCCATAAAACCTTCACTGGGCATGGCGGGAACTAGCGAGCATTTAGTAGCCAGACTATCCAGAATGTAACATCTTTACAGATAGAATGAACAAGTAGTTAGGGATGTGGGATAGAAGACAATACTGACTTCTGGTCAAATTAAAGTTTTTATTTACAGAATTTTTTTTTTGTTGTTGTTTTTGTTGTGGTTGGTGGTGACGACTTGTTTTTGGTTGTTTGAGACAGTGTCTCACTAGGTAGCCCAGGCTGACCTTACATGTGTGGCAATCCTCCTGATTCAGCTTCCCAAATGCTGGGATCACAAGCACGAGCCACCGTAAATGGCAAAAGCTGTTACATTTGATTGGCTCCCGGGACTGGAGAGATGGCTCAGCAGGTAAGGTACCTGTTGCCAAACCTGATGACCTGAGCTCAATCCCCAGACCCCATGTGATGGAAGGAAGGGAAGACCCTGCAAGTTGTTCTTTGAACTTTATGTTTATCATGGCACATAAACCTCCTCTGCACTCCCCACCACCCCATATACACACACACAGTAAAAATAATGGGCTCCCTGCTGGTTCAAATGATGATAATCACTTGTACGCACGCAGTAAAATATTTCTGAAGCATGTACTTGGCTATCAGTGCAAAACAGAACAAGTTTATCAGCCGCTGGGCATTCTCAACGTCCCAGCCCCAAATCTGGTAAAATCACCACCCTACATGACTCACTCACCAGAAGCTGTACACAGCACAGTTTACTCTGCTGTGGCATTCTGTAAACAATAAGATTCTCAAAACCTGCACTATGGGAAACGTCTTCTCACCTTTCTAAAAGCCCTGTCTGACCTCCAGGCTCCTTCCTATCGCTAGTAGAGTGAGACTGTGCCCACTCTGGCTTCCCCCACCGTTCTCATCTGTCCGTTCACTCCAACTGTCTTCTGTGGTAAGACAGCAGAAAGTAGGTAATGGCTGTTGGTAGATGAGTAGGTCTTGAATTTATTTTGCAAACAAGACCTGTTCTATCTACCTTTTCATTTAGGAGGCTAAAGGCAGAGTCAGCTTGACTTCAAGGACTCTTCTTTTCTTAGTCTCCAGAAGAGTATGACTAAATCCATGACTAAATCCACCATTTAAAGCATTATTATTCTTTAGCTAGGCATGCCTGTAATCCCAGAACTTGGAAGGTAGAGGCAAGAGTATCAGGAGTTCAAGGTCATTGTCAGCTACATAGCAAGTCTGAGCCAGCCTGGGCTACATGAGACCCTGTCTGAAGAAACTAAACTAAAAGGTAGGCATGGTAGCTCACCCCTGTAATCTCAGCACTAAGGAAGCTGAAGCAGGGGGACTGCCCCAAGTCTAAGGCTAGTCTAGACTACAAACCTGTTCTCAAACCACCGTTCTTAAAATGCCTAGACAGTGAAGAAAAGAGAATTCAGAACTTCAGGCTTTAAGAGATCTCAACATTGCAGACACGGGTCCCTTACTGCCAATGGTTGACAGAGTTAAATGCAAGGCGACAGTTTACCCTTAGCACCTGTCATTAGCAAGGAGGGTACCGATGACCTGGCACCACTGCCACTCCAAAGAGCTGTGGCTGCATGGTTCTTGTCAAGTTCACTGTGTCCCATCACGTCACTGTTTGTTTTCTGCTGACACCAATCCTGAAAATAAAGGAGCTCAACTCACAGGTGGACTGTCTTTTCTTCCTAGTCTCAGACTCTGCCAGAATCCGATTTCTCTGATGTTTTCAATCACTCAAATTTGGTAGAATTAAACCACCATTTACTTGAGTTTTTTAAATTAAACAGGTTACAGCTGATTCAAATGACATGCAGTTACTAAGCCAAATACTTCCTTAGTATAAACTAGGACCCAAATCTACCCTTCCCCCGATTCCTGAGCCTACATTTGGATCTTTTACCCAAAGGGAACTTAAGCAATTTAAACAGACTGGTTTGGAGACAGGATGTAATGCACCCACTAGGAAAGCACCCAGCCAACAAAACTTGAGTTTCTCAGTTGTCTCCTTTAACAAAACAGGAGCATACTTCTTAGAAATGGACTGACTGGATGTGGACATTACTTTCCATAGGCCTGCCCCTCATTCTGCCGTCTACTCTATTTCCTTCCACATCCCAAACACTAATCTGAAGGGGGAAGTAGCAAGAGAGAAGGAAGAAACAAGAAGCAACATCCAGAAGTACAGACAGCATGCTGGAAAAAGTTAAGATACTCAATACTGTCCTTTTATCATTTATACTTTATTACCATCAACTGATTCCTAGATACCTAGAGTGGACCTCCTCCTCTGTTCTCCTAATGCCTGTGTGGCTCAGAATCACCTCTGGGAGGCACTGCCTAATTTTCACCTCTCTCAAGCTGAGTTACATGCCACACACTCACCATTGACATAATACTCAAGTGGTGATATTACAACCACTGGCCTGTGTCTGCTCCCCTTGAATTATGCATATCAAAGGCATGGTTGTGGCTGCATAATCTTTGAATACTCAGAGCATGGAAACAACTGCTCCCTGCTTTCAGGGAACTCATACCTGAAAAGAAACACAAGACATCAAATTAGCTTACAAATCAAAGGAAAAGCTTTTTCATTAAAAATCAAAGCACTGTCAAATGTATGCTCTTGGGGGCTGTGGGATGAGGTTAAAAACATGGACAGTACTTCTCTTCTGTCCAAATACACCTAGGGGCCTGACAGTCCCATTAGTAACTGTGGTGACTCCTAATCTGTGCCGAACAAGTGCAGAAGAACCAAGGGTGGTGTTGAGTGTGATCTAGAATGATCCCCCCATTACTACAAGAAAACTCTGACACTCACATTTAATACTTGGTATAGTTTTGACTATTCTTAAATAGCCCAAAGATCTATGATATGCTATTTTAAATACTCTGAATCATAAATTTGGTTCATAATCCTGGAGACTAGTGTGTCTAAGCTGCCCCTGACCTACTACTAACTTTAACTATCTACCTGACACTTTGAGCATGGCACAACAATATGGCTATCTGCTAGTTTACTGAAGAGAGCACAAAGTCCTTGTGCTCATAGATAAACACTAGGGAAATGAGGAATGTTAAATGTGAAGGATTGTCTCTTCAAAGGAAAAGATATACAACCTGTTTTCCGCCCAGAAGGCTGAATGTGGTTAATAGCCTGGTGACCTCTGTGCTATCTGTATGGCCAGGGCTTCCCCAGACTCTTACTAACTGAACCAGAGTTGGCTAATAGCCTAAGTGACCTCTGTGCTATCTGTATGGCCAGGGCTTCCACAGACTCTTACTAACTGGACCAGAGGTGGCTAGGTGACCTCTGTGCTATCTGTATGGCCAGGGCTTCCACAGACTCTTACTAACTGGACCAGAGGTGGCTAGGTGACCTCTGTGATATCTGCAGGGCCAGGCCACACCTGCCCCACAACCCTTACAAACAGGACTGGAGGTGGCTAATAGCCTAGTGACCTTTGCACTATTTATATAACTTAAACCACACCAGATCCTTCCCAAGGCCCTTTAACACGTGTAGTCAGTCTATCTATAGAATTTATCTCAATAGAAGAGGTGACATGTACTTTGAAAAGAGTTTCAATGTAATTATACCTTATTGTGCACACGGGATTGTGTTACACAAGGAAACTTTTTTTTTTCTTCAAAATTGTACTATCTTAAATATGCCTAAAATAAACCACTTTAGGGTCAGACTCTAGAAGTTTGAGCCAATTCCAGCTACTGAGTCATGCTGAACCAAACTTCCTTCTTGCCTCACATGGATAGACACTGCTGGCTGTGGTGTTTGCAGAGGCCACCCCCACACTTTATAACCTAAGGTTTTCATAGAGGAAATTATACCCTGTAAAGGTAATGGCAAACTTGTAAAGACCACAGCTATTTACTGGATTCCTTCTTCAATGTGAAGTGTCTTTAAAAATCATCTTATAGACCCCCTCACAAAGTGACAGAAAGCAACAATTAAAGTAACTCAGTACTTAGCAACAGTCCTTTTCTCTAAACAACTTTGCTCAGATTTAAATATTCTGAGAGGAGAAATCAAACAGAAGCACTCATCATTTCATCATTACTGAAATCTCATCCTTTTTTTTTTTAAAAAAAATTATTTTATGTGCATTGGTGTGAAGGTGTCAGATTCCCTGGACCTGGAGTTTCGGACAGGTGTGAGCTGCCATGTGGGTGCTGGGAATTGAACCTGGGTCCTCAGGAAGAGCAGCCAGTGCTCTTAACCACTGAATCATCTCTCCAGCTCCTCATTCTTTTCTAACAAGGCAGTGGATGGTCAGAATTTTCATAGTGGGATCCTGAAGTCCATTATTTTAGGCCAGAAATGTATTTTCCCAGCTCTTCAAAGTACCCTAAGCCAATTTCTCAAAAATAACATTTAACTGATTAAAAGATTTCTACATAAGAGTTTATGGGTTCTCCCCTCCTCCCACCTTATATGCTGGGGATCAAACCCAGGGTCTTGCTCACACAAGGTACCCACCTTGCCAGAGCTACATTCCCCAGCCCAATGTAAGAAATTTTAAACAACACTTCCCTACTTACATAACCATCACAGTCAATAACAGGCGTGTTTTTGTATACTTACTTACAATTAAACATTCATGAGCATGCTAAAGAGAGAAGGGAGGTGGAAACAGAATGGAACACAGCTGGTCACCAGCAGAAGGTAAGATGCAGCTAACTGGCCAACAGAAGGAGCGGAAATGGAAACGACCTGTCGCTGGTCCACATCCCAATCGAATTAACTGGTAAGTCTCTAGAAATAGGTCTGAGTCATTTACCTAAGACAATAACAGCAGTGAAGGCTGGGGCTTCGGCTTGCACACATGTTTGAGGCCCTGGTATCAACTCCTAGCAGGAATGACAGGCAACAGGATTTTTAAAGAAAATACATAATGTAAGTCCATTTGTATCCTTGTGTCTAGAATTATACAGCTTCTAATACTGTGCATATTACTGCATTTCAGGTGCTACTTCTGCCCATGTCACAATTCAACATAACCACTTGCCTATACAACAAAACGTCATTGTGAGCAATATTATATGGGTGCTAGGAACCAAATTCCGATCCTCTGTAAGAGCCACAAATGCTCTTACCTACTGAGCCATTAAACGGGTATCTAAATGCCCCTCACCACCCTCTTCACTTCCTTCAAGTCTCCAACCTTGACGTTGCTCACACATTCAAGAAGCTTAAAAATCACCAACTCTGTGAGTGTGCGCGTGCGTGCATGCGCGCTTAAAATGACTGCTACAGGTGATTCCTCAAACAAGAGTCGTCGACTCGGAATGCCTGGATCTGCAGAGCCGATACTCATCAGCTCTGTGAATACGTAGGTGTGTATGCATGTATGTACGTACTACGCTTGTGTGTGTGCTTAATTAAACTTTAGTCTGTGTGAGTGCGTGTGTCTTCTTACACATCTATCTACCACCGCAGCTCCGTGGGCTTTCAATCCTCGTTTTTAAAAAGATGGAGAAAATAAAGCACAGAGAAGCAGGATCGACGCCTGGGTAGCTTACCCATGTCTTCTACTCCCATTCCTCCGACGCCTGCCACACCAGCCAGCCTATCGGGACAGCGTCGCTGCCGCCGCCGCCACAGGAGGCCGGATAATGGCCCAACTTGACGCGACAAGAGGGGCCAGCATCAGGTGTCTGGCTCCTGGTCTCAACTTCTCGCTCCTTCCGGCGGAAAATTAGTCCCCTTCCGGTCTCGGGCGTGGGGAGGAAGTCCCGCCTGACGCAGCAGCGCGGCACCAATCACTGGCTTGCTGCTTGGCAACCGGGCCGCGGAGACTCAGGGCCAGGGATTTGGTTCCTGGGTGGGTGTGGAAGGATGCACCGCGGCTTGAGTATGCTGCGTTCAGCTTCCCCCGCAGGAGCCATCCCGGGAACTGCAGCCTGCCGCCCCGCCCCGGCGACGCTCCTTGCGGCCTTGCGCCACCCAGCCCTGGCTGTTAAGCTTCTTAGTGTTGCTCAGTCTTGCCACCCTGCTTATAGAGCTCTGCACCTCGGTGGGGCTTTTACTCGGTAGCCTTCTTTTCTCCCCCTGGCTGCGAGGCCATGCCTCTTCACCGAGGAAGGGACGGAGAGCGTCCTGGCCTTCCTTGGTCGGGGACGTGGTAATTTTGAGTCTAAGAAAATAGTAAAATCCCTTTTGGATTCGTTTCCGGGGTGGGTGGGGGGTGGGCAGCCCCGCCCAGCCCCAAGAAGGCCTCAAATGCTGAGACCTTAAACCACAGACTTGTTTGACATTTGCCTCTTGGTAGAGTCAGGCTTCCTCTGTCGTTTTGAACAGATTTCTTTGCCTTTTCTTAGTTTCCGGTGATTGCTAGAATCATGTATGTGCTATGTCTTGGAGGAGCCTCACTCCGTCTGTTCTCAAACGGCGGCGTTCTCCCTGTTTCTGCTTGTTTCTTTCTGTGTCTTATAAAAACATCAATGCTATTGGATTAAAAAGCCCATCGGTTCTAGTATAACACATGTGCAGTGTGTCCTTATTTTCAAGTAAGTTCACATTGTGAGGTTGCAGGAAAGACATAAACTTCGGGGGCGGCACTAGCCACCCCAGTATGCTGTCAGAGTTCTCCAGGAATATGCAAACAAAGCTGGCTGTAGGAATGAATTCAAACAGCTCCTTTGGATCACTGAAGTTTGGGGCCAGATTTTGAAGCAAAGGAACAAAATAAGGAAACAAGAATTGGTCCATGAAAGCAGGTTTAAAAAAGAAAGGATCTTACATACAGTCCAAGGTGTTGGATTTTATATACAAAATCAGAAGCAAAAATGTTAATTTGTTACCAGTTTGAGCCAAACCCATTTAATTTTTCTTACTCATTTAAGAAGATGTAACTTTCTGGGCATGGTAGCACACTCCTTTAATACCAGCCCTCAGGAGGCAGAGGCAGATTTCCATGAACTGAAGGCTAGACTCGTGTCTGTAGAGAGTGCCAGGCTGACCAGAACTACACAGTGAGAAGGAGGAGGAGGAGGAAGGACAGGGAGCCAGGGCGATGCAGTGAGACCCACTCTAGGCATGGCCTGTGCTTTTCTCACCTGGAGTAGGCACCCTGGCTCCTCCGCCTGGAACGCTGCCATCAAGTTGCAGACCTTTACCTGCCTGGTTGGCTGTCATGGATGCTGTATTTTAGCATAAGAAATACTCATATCATTTACTAACCTTAGTGTCTTAGTTAGGGTTTCTATTGCTGCAACGAAACACCAGGATCAAAAAGCAAGTTGGGGAGGAAAGGGTTTATTTGGCTGTTCATCACTGAAGGAAGTCAGGACAGGAGCAGGATTCTGGAGGTGGGAGCTGATGCAGAGACCAAAGAGAGGTGCTAGTTACTGGCTTACTTCTCATAGCTTGCTCAGCCTGCTTTCTTATAGAACCCAGGACCAGCAGCCCAGCGATGGCACCACCCACCATGGGCTGGGCCCTCCCCCATCAATCACTAATTGAGAAAATGCCTTCCAGCTGGATCTCAGGAGGCATTTCCTCAATTGAGGGCTCCTTACTCTCTGTTGGCTCTAGCTTGTGTCAAGTTGGCACACAAAGCCAGCCAGTGCGGTTAGTGTTTTAATTACTAAACCTGGCAAAGATAGCACAAGAGAAAACTTGGAGCTAAGCTCACCTAGAGACAAAGCTCTAAACCGATCAGCAAACCTACCTTGCAGGCTATCTAGATAAGTGGTTCTCAACCTATGGGTCGTGACCCATTTGGGGGGTGTCTTTCACAGGGGTCACATATTCCTCTATATCAGATATTTACATTACAATTTGTAACAGTAGCAAAATTACAGTCATGAAATAGCAATGAAAATAATTTTATGGTTGGGGATCACAACAACATGAGGAACTGCATTAAAGGGTCACAACATTAGGAAGGCTGAGAACCACTGATGTAGATAGATGAAGCATTGGTTTCCCAGAAATAATTAGAAAACCTATCACTGCAAGTTATTGTGTTAATAATTTAGAGGTTTAATACTATACAATTATCTCAATAGCTAACATTTTAAAATCCAGTATCTACTTAGCAAAATGAGAATAGATAACAATTTGATGAAAAGCTTTTTAGCAGAAACCTATTGTACACATGACTTAAAAGACAATTATTGTCACAGGAAAATCTGAATACCTATTTTTAATGCTAATATTCAACATGGTAGTTGATTTTCTATCCAGAGTCCAAAAAAGAAAGGCAAAATCATTAGGAAAGAAAGAAATGAAAATACCATTTTCAGATGACAGGATTTTCTTTCTAAAAAGATGACAGTGATAAACTACTAGAGGGTTCAGAATGGTTGCATAGGTTAATAGTTAAAACTTGTTACACACCAGTTACAAAGTGTGAGAAAACAGAACCCATCCAGGTCAGCGAGATGACTCAGCTGGTAGAGACACTTGCAGCCAGTCCTGATGATCTGAGTTCAGTCTCCGGACTCACGTGGTGGAAGGAGAGAACTGACTCCTGCAAACTGTCCTCTGACAGCCACCCATGGGCTCGGGGGTGTTTGCACACGCGCATGCAAACGTGCGTGTGCGCACACACACACACACACACACACACACACACACACACACAAATGTAACCTTTTAATTAAAAAGGAATCCATCTAAAGGTGGCAATATAAAATACCTATGAATATACTGAACAAAAGGTATAGAGATTCAAGGCAAATATAAAATATTGTTGAAAGACAGTAATTGAGTAGATAGGAGATTTTATCTTTTCTGCTGAGATTTCAGTGTTTTAAAGATAACATTCTATTGTAAATTAATAAAACATTTTGATTAGAATACTCGGAAAAGTCTGCAAATAACTCTTAGGTCAAAGTATGTTATTCTTTTGGGACAACACCAGAGTCCATGTACTGACATTTAGAATCTGTCGTGAGTGAGACTGAGATGCATGCCCATGACTCTACTATATTAATTAAGAGCTGGTATCTAAAGCTAAATTAGATTCCTTAAATTGAGGAGTGTGGGAACACAGTCCAAGAATGGAGTCCTGTGAAAACTCTGAGTACTTGTGAGAAAACTCCAAGAAAATAAGACAAGAATCTTGTGACCTCAGTTTCTCAGTTGTTCTTGGAATGTGTTTTCATGCTCCTTCAGGTGTAGCAGTTAGGGCTGAGTTTACTTCAGCTGCTGTTAATTCACGTGCCTCTATGGGAAAACATGCTTTTGTCACAAGTGACTTGTCCTTGTGTTGAACACCTTACTTGTGTGACTCTTCTTAACCCTCAGAGTATAAGTTGTCTGTACTCTGAATAAAGTTGGCTATTGCGTGAGATATTTGTCCACCTCGTTTTAGGCTCTACTCCCAGGTCCCACTGCCTTTAGAGTGGTAAAAAGGAACATTTCATATTGTTCTATGATCTGAAAAAACAAAAGTCAGAAACGTTAGGATAATCTTTTTTTACGTTTGGACAGAAAACTGAGTGTGAAACTGTCTTGAAACTTGAATGATAGACACATTACAGTGTAGATTTTAAACCACCTATCTGACAATGGGGTTATTCAACCTCTACTCTTCTGGGATTCTGATAAATTGTATTTTGCTTGGAAATCATCCATTGATAATAGGTTTTCAAACTGTTAGCCAGCTACTCCAGAGGGTAAAGTGGGAGGACTCCTGGAGTCCACGAGTTCCAGACAAGCATGTGAAACAGCAAAGATTTTGCCACAAAAACCAAGCAAAATTCTGCACGTGACTGTTTACACTCTCATATGTGATCGTATACACTTTTGCTTTCCTTTTTCCTAAATCACGTTCATAGACATTTATTCTGTTCTCTCTCCATCATACAGGTCCTGGGAACTCAGGTCATCAAGTTTGGTGGCAAGTGTCTTAACTAAACCATCTCTCCGGCCCAGCTGAAATTTATGTTGTCGATTGTCTTGAAAGAAGCAGCTTGGGGATTTAAACTTTCTGCTATAATTCGAATTTTTTCTTTTTTCTTTATTTCTTTCTTTATCTTTTTGAGAGAGGGTCTTTCTACATAGCCCTGGCTGTCCTGGAACTCCCTATGTAGACCAGAATGGCCTTAAACTCACAGAGATCTGCCTGCCTCTGGGATCAAAAGTGTGTGTCACCATGCCTGACTCATCTTACAATTTTAGTTTTTGTAATGATTTTGCTTCCTTTTTTGCTCTTTTTCTGATGTCTTTTTGTTTGCTTATTTAAAATTTCTTTTATTATGTTGATTGATTGATTGATTGGGTTGGGTTGGGACTCAAGTGTGGAGGTCAGAGGACAACTTACAAGAGTCAGTTAGTTTTCTTGTTCCACCATGTGGGTCCTGGAGATGGAATTCAGGTTGTCAGATTTGGCTGTATGTGTCTTTAACCACTAAGTCATCTCACAAGGACCATGTTGGTTGGTTGGTTGGGTGGTTGGTTGGTTGGTTGGGTGGTTGGTTGGTTGGTTGGTTGGTTGGGTGGGTGGTTGGTTGGTTGGTTGGTTGGTTGGTTTTAGCAATGCATTGCATTGTCTAAGTGTTTTATAATTTATCCCTTGGCTTACTGAAGGAAATGTTGGTTGCTTCTAAGCTTTCTCACTTATAAATGAAGCTACTATAAACAACTGTCGTGGTTTGGATGAGAACGGCCCCCCATAAGCTCATGTATTTGAATGCTTGGTCCCAGTTAGTAGAACTGTTTAGGAAGGATTAGAAGGTGTGGCCTTGAAGAAGGAGGTGTGTCATAGAGGA